CAAGCTCTATCCAAAAAGAAAAGAAATGAGATTTGTCGGGCATGACTTGTTTTTGAGAAACCCATAGTAATCACAGCATCCTTTTCTGAGTGCTCACAGATGGACCATTTAATTATCTGTTTGAGGACATTTCCTGGTATTGATGACATGCTCACCGGTCAGTAGTTACCTGGCTTTTCTTTCCCCCCATTTTGAAGGTGAGGATAACATTTGCCTGCCTCCAGTCCACAGGGACCTCACCTGTTCCCCAGGATTACAGACAGGGGCTCTGAGATTCCACCTACAAGCTCCTTTAGTACCCTTTTTGAACAGCAGTGGCTTTCCAAGGTCTCAGGGAGAGGACTTTCCCATCCCATTCTACTCAATCCCCTGTATTTAAATGGAATGGTTGAACCCAGGGTCTTCTGCATGGAAAGCACATGCTCTGCTACTGCACTGTGGTCAAACCATGCCGGCAGTGTGTGTCACTCTGCAAGCATTTCTCTCCTCCCACCCCAAGACAAGCTGAAGCAAGCACCTGTAGCTGTTCGGCAATTTAGAGCTGATGGAAAGTGTTTGGCTCTAGGGAAGAGAGATATTAACCTGGCTGCAAATGATGAAAAAGACAACATAAAAAGATGCCAAACCTAAGCGGGGGTGGTTTGTTTTGTTTTCTTTGTGCAGGGGGAAACGGGTGTAGAATTCTACGCAAGTGAACGACACCAGAGTTCATCCAGTCCAGCCCATTGCTGCAATGCAAGATTTGCCAGTGTGAGACTGAGAGCCAGTGTGGTGTAGTGGTTAAGAGTGGTAGACTCGTAATCTGGTGAACCGGGTTCGCATCTCTGCTCCTCCACATGCAGCTGCTGGGTGACCTTGGGCCAGTCACACTTCTTTGAAGTCTCTCAGCCCCACTCACCTCACATAGTGTTTGTTGTGGGGGAGGAAGGGAAAGGAGAATGTTAGCCGCTTTGAGACTCCTTCGAGTAGTGATAAAGCGGGATATCAAATCCAAATTCTTCTTCTTCTTGCTTCCCTCCACACAGCCATCGAGTCGCCAGCTTTTGAACCAACTCTTATAGCTGCACCTTGATGCTCAGGCAACAACAGGTGGTTGTGTTTTGAACCAGTTCACCAGCTTAGTTCTACAGATCAAGCTCCTGTTAAAACATTTCATATTTTCCTGTTGCAAACTGCCCTGCGATCATCGGATGAAGGGCCGTATACAAATAAATAACAATAACGATATTGTTAACGGATGAGCTTTTCTGTCCTGCTTTTCATCCAAGTTGCACAAGCGACATTCGCTGACCACCCCTCCCATTTTATCCAAACAACATCCCTTTGTGCCTAGCAGTGATCGCTGAAAACCGCTCCCTGCAAGGCCCTTTCCACCTGGCCTAGGGGTGGCACCCAGACTCCCTCTGGGGTTGGGGCAACTGTCTAAAATGCTTTTAAATGTCTTAAATAGTTTTTAATCTGCAGCATTTTAAATTTTGGGGTCTTTTTGTTTTGTTTTGTTTTTGCTGTATTTGGTGCTGGGTTAAATGTTTTGTTGGGGTTGGGGATTATTTTAATTTGTGTAGAACTGCAAATTGTGTTTCATATGGTTACAGCGGTACCTTGGTTCTCGAACTTAATCCATTCTGGGAGTCCTTTCGACTCCCGAAACCATTTGAAAACCAAGGCCCGGCTTCCAATTGGCTGCAGGAGCTTCCTGCACTCAAGCAGAGGCCACGTCGGATGTTCGGCTTCTGAAAAACATTTGCAAACCGGAACACTTATGTCAGATGGAAAAGGTGGTTGCTCACGAGTAACCAGGCAGGACTCTGACCTGTCTTTTACAGGTTTTATTTAGGTGCAAAACTATTTACAGTGTAGAACCCCAAAGTTCATGTCTGCCTCAATCGCTAGCAGAATCCGGGAGTGCTTGTTTCCTGGACCTCCCCCAGCATAAAAGTCTCGTTACGCCCAGCCTTTTCCTCCCCTCTTTGCACTTTAGACTTCATTGCAGGGTGGGCGATGGAAGGGGCGTGCTTCCCTCCTGGCCAGCTTTGCCAGGAGTGGTTTGAGGCTCCTACCAGCATCCTCTGGTCCTTTCACCTCTTCCCCACTGGAGTTGGGGTTTTCCTCATCACCGGAAGAAGAACTGCTTCGCAAGATTTTCGGGGGCTCCCTGTAACACAACTGCCCCTCTGTTTCCTGCCCCTCTTCTAATGGCAGTTCCCTGACATCTTACTTCCAGGTTTGCAGTGTTCGGGAGCTGATTTGTTCGGTAGCCAAGCTGTCGGAGTACCAAGGTACCACTGTATTAGTTTCTACTGTTTTGTTGGTTTATTGTATAGTCTGTATAAGGTAGGCTGAGATATCATGACTGCCCCATGGTTACCCAGTGAGCTTCATGGCTGACTGAGGATTTGAAGCCGGGACATCCAAGGTTCCACCACATTGTCTGTTGCAAAGACACAGGCAGAGGCCAGGTTGTTGTTGTTTGGTCTGGTCAAAGACAAGAGCAGGATCCAGAGCTGCCTGGGATTATTTCCCAATGTGTCTTATCTCTCTTGTGTAATGTTCAGTTTCCAAAATTAGCAGGAGGAGAGGTGGCCAAGATTGGGGAGGGAGAAGCAGATGCAACACAAAGACTCGGCAGCAAGGGGTGGGGAAACCATCTGTACCGGTTGGGTTGTTTAAAAAAAGGGGGGGGAGTTGTTCCTACCTCCACACCTTCCCACATGAAAGAGCGGTGGAAACAGAGGCCCAGAGCTAAAGACAATGCCCTGCCAGAGATGGAATTGAGATGGATTGGGTTACATGGCTCAGCTTGTGAAAGTTCCATTGAAGGTCACCAACGGATTAGAGAATTCCGGACTCCGTTTGGTGACCAGCGAACCAGAGTTAACGAAGATGCTGTTGTGGAAGCAGGCAGGTGGGAGAGGCATGTGCCCGGACAAGGGAATCCATCTGCAGAGATGGGCAGTTCATAGCTACATGCTCTTTAGTACTGACGCAGCACAACCAGCAGGGGTGGAGGGTGGGAAAATCTGCTGTTGAAAGGTTCAGTTTGCGGGTGCCTCCAGACTGTCAATAAGCAATGATTCTTCAACATCAACTTTGTTGGACTGGTCGTCTTGTGCGGATGCCTTATTATTGTCTTCCAAAGCAACTACAGTGGTACCTCGGGTTACAGATGCTTCAGTTTACAGACTCCACTAACCCAGAAATAGTACCTTGGGCTAAGAACTTTGCTTCAGGATGAGAAGAGAAATGGCGTGGCGGCGGCATGGCGGCAACTGCAGGCCCCATTAGCTAAAGTGGTAGCTCAGGTTAAGAACAGTTTCAGGATAAGAACGGACCTCCAGAACGAATTAAGTTCTTAACCCGAGGTACCACTGTACTCTATTCCAAACTTAAAAATGGAAAGTGTAATGTTGGTGGTCAACAAGAGAGGTTTAAAGAGGCAAATCTTTAAACAGTAGTATAAACACCAACAATTGGGAAACACTGGGCTGTGAGTGCTCCAATTGGAGAACAGCCTTTACCAAAGGTGTCATGGGCTTTGAAAGACGTTGAAACTCAGGACGAAAGGGAGAAATGCGCTAAGAGAAAAGCACGCTTGGCAAATCCACACTGTGATCAACTCCCACCCAGAAACCAATGTCCCCACTGTGGAAGGACATGTAGATCCAGAATTTGCCTCCACAGTCACTTATGGACTCATTGCTAAAACTTGTGTTTATGGAAGACAATCTTACTCAGCTACGAGTGATCACCAAAGAAGAAGAAGAAGAAGAAAGAAGATACTGAAGGAGCGATTCACATGTGCATTGGAGTTTTCTGTTTGTGCAGTGCAGTGCATTTAAGCACTCTGTCACCCTAGGGCAACAAATCCACAATAATAATAATAATAATAATAATAATAATAATACAATCCTGAACTTTTCGCAGTTTGCTAACAACAACAACAACAATTTTATTGTTTATACCCCGCCCATCTGGCTGGGTTTCCCCAGCCACTCTGGGTGGCCCACAGCACATAAAAAACCATAAAAATATAGACATAAAAAATTTCCCGATTTTGCCTTCAGATAACGGGGAAAGGCACTGAAAAATGTGGAATGGACCATGGGAAGGTGTGTAAATGACCCACAAGCAAGTCATGTTGAATGTTCACTGTTGTGTAACCACCCCATAAACAAATCACAACGAATTCTCAATAAAGGCCAGACAGGATGAATGCTGAAGAAGCAGGTTTTCTGCAGTTGATGAATGTAAGAACGCTCTGCCAAGGGGCTTGGGTCTAATTTGGAAGCTCAGGGGAGGCCCCTGAAAGGCTCCAAGTTTCTGAGGCGGAGGGAGTGAGAATGACATCACGACACTATGACATCATGACATCATGCTGCAATGTGATGTCATGATGTCACGTGCACTGGGCAACCATAACCTAGGGCCCACCTCAACTCCCCTGTCTTCCGGGTTTCTCTTCCTTTCCCCTGAGCAGTCAGTCAGCATTCTGTGCCCACTGAACATATCAGTCCTTGTTAATCTATTATGGGGTATCCACTCTCACAGATAGGGATTCCCCCTCCCTATATTTTTTTGTTCTTCCACAGACCTTGTGTGTCTTTGTGTATTTCAAGCGCACTGTTCTTTTTGCCGCAGAACTGAATGACAAACCTACTTGCGAAAGCTAATACCTAGGAAATGAATTCCAGGGACCAGCAGTAGAGGAAACCACAGGATGAACAGAAGGGTTATTTAGGTTTCGAAATGTTGAAAGAAGAGGGTATAAATGTGCTTACATCCCATTAAACTTTGCGGTATTGGAATGTCATTCGTTAGACCCAAGACGACATCAACAAAAGCCAGCAAGTTGTTTTTTTTAAGGGTTGGATTTTTCTGCATTGATAGATTGATTCTGAAACTGAAAATGCTTTGTAAAATGGCACTCCAAAAATCTGCAGCAAAAAAGCTGACCTGCTTCCCCCCTCCTGCCCTGCCTCGTGTTGTTATTGTCCACAGACCCTGTGATAGCTCAGTTGGTTAGAGCATGGCGCTGATAATGCCAAGGTTGCAGGTTCGATTCCTGCATTGCAGGGAGTTGGACTTAATGGTCCTCAGGGTCCTTTCCAACTCTACAGTTCTATGATTCTGCAATTCTATGCTCTACAGAACTCTTCTGCCTAGCAGTGGGATTCACATCTATGTGCCAATCAACTCAGCTGCAAGAGCCTCACACCCTAGTAATATATTCATGTTTACCCAAAAGTAGGCCCCAGTGAATTCAATGGATCAGACTCCTCAAAGCAGGCTGCAATGTTATACCTGATTTCCATGGGGATCCCCTCCCTGGCAAAGGTGGCATAGCAGCCCAGGCCCACAGTGAGCTGGCACGGACAGAGGGAGGTGGGCAAGGGATGACCCCAATGTGACCTGGCCTGGTGCTCCTCTCCATGAGCATCGGGGGATTCACCCACCAAGGGCCACGGTGGCCAGCCAGGCTCCCCCCTGCATGGGCAAGCAGGGGGCGTTCTTGCCTCGGGCCCCAGCAACCCACACTATGCCACTGCTATAGAGCCCAATGGAACTAGCATGTATAAAATTGCACTGTAAGTGAGTGTAAGACTGCAGCCTTGGTCTACTGTTTCCTTGGATGGGTGTGTGTGTGTGTGTGTGTGTGTGTGTGTGAGAGAGAGAGAGAGAGAGAGAGAGAGAGAGAAGAGAGAGAAATAATTCAGTCCCTCCATCACCCAAAGAGTAGATTGGTGCGGACAAAGTCAATTCACTGACCATCTGTCAGAGATGTCAGGATCTGATCAAACGCAAGCTACTGCTGCTGCTTGTCCATTCTTGTTGCTTTGGCCATGTGTGTGTGTGTGTGTGTAGAGTGCAAAACTCTTGCACATTAGTGGCTCCATCCAGCAATGACACACCTGTGTGCTTCATCACTGTTCTTGGACTGGGGCAACTGCAAAACACACATGGACCTTAATGGGAGGTGTGGAATTTAGAAAAAAGCAGATGGGCAGTGATGAATTGCCTGATGGCACTGAATGTCTGAAAAATTACCTGGTACTAGATGAATTTCAGAGCTTGACAGCTCTAGGCTCATTGGTTTGTTTCAGTCTCATTGACAGTGCCTTTCAATGCAAAAGCCCTCTAAAGACAACTCACAACCACCATCATAAAAAGGGGGTGGAATATAATAACCATATAATATATTTTTAAAAAATATTTTTTTATTAAATTTGTACACCAGCCTTCATCCGAAGATCACAGGGTGATTCACAAGATAAAAATACAGAATGAGAACACAAAATGCATAGTAAAACAAAGCAAAGCAAAGCAAAAGCAACCAATAACCCCCTCCCAGAAACACATTTTAAACTTCTTTTGAATACATTTTATTAGAGTTTATAAAGAGAGATACAAAACTTAATGCCAAATATATTTTAACCAACATTAATCAAAATAAAATAAAAACATAGAGGAAAAGAGGAAAAGGAAAGGAGGAGAAAAAACGAGAACAGATGAGAGAATAGGTTAGGGAAAAAGAGATAGAAAAGAACTTTAAAGAGAGAATAGAAAGGATAAAATACAGAAATTAAAGAAATTCTTCATTGGTCCGCTATATATAAACGATAGTCACTTCATCCACTTCAATATAACACCCATCAAAACAACTTTCCATAAACGAACATTATCTTCAGTCCCCAAATCCATATGTCATTCTTTCATTTTCTTTTTCATGCAAAAAGCCTATGAAAACACATTTAAAACAGCAGCAAAATGCTTAGTCCACCCCCTGTGGTCCAGATAGTACAAATTAAACATTTTAACACAATTTTAAACAGAGAAAGAGCAATGGTTTTAAACCATCTTTAATGAAAAGCAGATCAGAAGGGAAAGATCTTTCTTTGGAAAAATAGATTGCACAGCCCTGATTTAGATGCTGGTGGAGTCTGTTCCAGCCTTCCCAGATGTGGCACCCTCTTGATGTCATTGGACTCCAACTCCCATCAGTCCAGTCCATCATGGCCAGTGGTCAGGGAGGATGGGAGTTGGAGTCTAACAGCTTCCAGAGGCCACCAGGTTGGAGAAAGCTATTGTCTGCTCAGAAGTCCTGACAAATGCATCAGGGGAAGGGCAGGGCCAGCAGGTGTGTGTGTGTGATCCCACCCCATTCTTTTACCTGTGTTGAACCACCATTTTAGGCATTCAGGACAAAGAGCTGGCCTAGATATGACATTTGCCATGGGGATTGACATGAATTGAGGCCACCATGTAGCGTAGGGCTGAGAAACCTGTGACCCTCCTCCCGGCATTACCACAGGCTCCCTGCCACTGCTGTAGCGATTTCCCCAACAACAGTCATCAATGGGTGCTGGACGACTCAGGACATGGGTAGACCATTGTGAGTTCTAATTATGAATGAATGGATGGAATAATGAATGAAGGCTTGTGTCAGGGATGCCCTGGAGAATGCAACATCTAGACTAACCATAGCTGGCCGGCAGGGAGAGGAGCTGCTTCCTTTGAAACCCGGGGAATTTAAGAGACATCATCAATAAGGGACATCAGTGGGACACGGTGCTGGGATAAGGGGGTTTCCCGCCAAATAAGGGACGGTTGACAGCTATGCGACTAACTCAAGATGAGGTGATGGGAAGAAAGGTGGCTTTTGGACTTCCAGAGGTCCACCAGTTGTCCATGCCAAGCAACACCTAGACCTTCCACCAAGGCTGCACCTGGTCTTGGATCTGCACCCGGTCACGGCCTTCCCTCCCAGGACCACCTTGTGGCTGTACAAAAGGGCGGGTGGTAAAGCAAGCAGAACTGAAATCCGCCCGCAGCACGTCTGTCTTGCTAGCAAAGAGACTGTGAGGCGCCTCTTAATAGCCCTTTAATTATACATCTACCATCACTTATTCGTTTTATTCTTTTTTTCCCTCTCCCCCCTTTTCTTTTTAAAAAGCTTAGGGTTCCCTAGATATGTAAATATACCACACAGAGCACAGCGCTGCTTAATTACAACTTAGAGAACACTCTGCAGGCAGCCAGGCGGAGATAGGATGAAGCCCTGGGTGGGGGAATCCAATTTAGAGGACCCTGTCCCAGACAGAAAGAGATATACAGGGCAATTGAGCGCATTCTTTCTTGGGCATCGCAGGCAACTCAGAAGGCGGGGCTTCGGCTCATTGGGGGAGACCCGCCGTCTGTATAGTTCATAGCGATTTGGGTGACCGCAATTGGCAATTACTCATTGTGGAGGCGGGAATAGCGGGCCATTTGTTTTCCTTTGTTTTGCATTCCCTGTTTCATTTGGGAGCATCCCCTCTGGACCAGGGAATGGTGGCAGGCTGATTTGCCCCAGGGCTGGGCTTTTATAGGATGCCGCTGATCCAAACCCTAAAACTCAGGATAGGTTCTACAGCATGAAAAGCAGCCAGTTATCATCAGAGCTGAAGGGAAAGTGAGAAGAGCCCAGATTAGCCTGAAGGTCACGCCATTCTCCTGCAAGTCCTAGAAACCTTTGTTCCAGAGGTGTAGGGAGTGTTCAGTGTCAATGCTTGCTTAGGCACGAGGGCACGGTATTCTGCACATGCTCAAAGGCACTCTGTGCTATTGTTCCACGTTACAGAGTAGGAGAGTCCTTTATCTGAAGAGCGGTTCCGTCCCAGTGTGCTTCAAGGATGAAGAGCCCTATGCAAGGAGAGCAGGAGGGGTCCAAAAGTTAGCCATCTACCATTGGTATCCGAAAACAGTCAAACCTGGGCAATCCGTTCTGGAAACCCATTCAGCTTCCGAAATGTTCGACAACCAAGGCACGGCCTCAGATTGGTTGCAGGAGCGTCCTGCACTCAAGCGGAAGCCGCGTCGGACGTTCGGCTTCCGAAAAATGTTCAAAAACCGGAGCATTTACTTCCAGCTTTTCAGAGTTTGGGAAGAAGAAGAAGAATTATTTATACCCCGTCTATCTGGCTGGGTTTCCCCAGCAACTCTGAAGAAGAAGAAGAAGAAGAAGAAGAAGAAGAAGAAGAAGAAGAGTAGTTTGGATTTCATATCCTGCTTTATTACTACTCGAAGGAGTCTCAAAGCGGCTAACATTCTCCTTTCCCTTCCTCCCCCACAACAAACACTCTGTGAGGTGAGTGAGGCTGAGAGACTTCAGAGAAGTGTGACTGGCCCAAGGTCACCCAGCAGCTGCATGTGGAGGAGCGGGGAAGCGAACCCGGTTCACCAGATTACGAGTCTACCACTCTTAACCACTACACCACACTGGCTCTCAGTGGGAGGCGAAACGTTCCAAAACGGAGGCGTTTGGGAGCCGAGCTGTGACTGTAGTAGACTTAGCAGGCCCATCAATCACCTGCTCACAGTCTTCCCCACTAGGATGAGATGGATTTTGTTTATAATTAACAAAGCAATTATCATACCCTCCAACATTTCTCCCATTAAGATACAGATGTCCAATTCAATGACAACAAGAACAACAACAATACCTTACCCATCTGACAGTTGCCTCAGCCACTCTGAGTGGCTTCCAACATATATAAAAACAAAGCATTAAACATTAAACAATAAGGGCTGCCTTCAGATGTCTTCTAAAGGTTGTATGCTTACTTATCTCCTTGGCTCAGGGGAGTCACATAACTCCATACCCTCCAACATTTCTGAAATGAAAATTTGGGCATCTTACGAAAGAAGAAATTAATGGACTATGCAGAATTAGATAAATTAACAGGAAGGATTCGAAACCTGCGGGACCAGAGATTCTTAGAAGAGTGGAGTAAATATATGAACTATTTGAAAAGCAACGGTAATGAACAGATTACACCGCAAGAAGTTCTGTAAGGAGGATTATTTGAAATATTACAAGAAAGACTATGAGGAAAATTATTAGTTAATGATAATTAAGAGTAATAGAGAAATTAAGAAATGCAGAATAAGTGATAAAGAACGGAGGTTGTTGACGGAAGTCTAAAATGTTGTATAAGATAAGAAGTTATGTTAAATGACTGCTGGAAATGATATATTAAAAAATCAATAAAAATGTGTATATATATATATATATATAAAAAGAAAATAAGGACGTCTT